TGTATTGTATAAAAAGCAAGAAGTGTCTCATTTATCACATATCCAGAAAAACTGTCGAAAAATGATCTTTACTTTATATGTGTACTAGAAGTTCACTAGTGCTTGACCTCTTTGAGATCGTGAATTTTATCATTATTTTCACTATTCCATTGTCTTTTTTTACTAATAATTCTTGATACATTCCACTGTGTAATGTCGTGATTTTTGGTATACCTTCACAGAATTCAGGGTACGCTGAAGTATTAAAACTTATCATAAACTGTGATGTGTAATTTGAGTACTGTTGAAATATAGCAGTTCAGTACTTCAACATGTGATTTCACTCACTTCTTTATCCTTTGTCGCCGAGGCCACTCCCACAGTATGATTGAAGCGCCAGAACTTGTGGTCAAGCGATGCTCCAGCGGTTCGAACAGCGCCCGGGCAAGTCGAGAGTGCGAAGATCCACACCCGCATTCCACGAAATCCCTTTCCTGGCTCACATGCCCTCGTGAGCCTCATGGTTAATGCAAATGATGACGAATGACATTTCTATGGCCTAAACCAATCCTCTTGTCAATTTTTATGTGATCTTTGTGCCTCATCGTTAGAGCTTTTCGGTGTACCATAGGGGCGAGACAGCGCTCAATTCAGTGTAAGTGAAGTACTAAATCGGGCGCTAAATCAAGATTCCATCTGAAAATCTCTACAGGCCTAGAAACACATCAATATAGACATCATTGCCGAGATATTATGAGAGACTTCAGACAACTCGATTCCTTCGTCAGGAGCATGCTCGAGTCTGAGGATGCACCAAGCCTCACCGAGACCCTGTTTCCTGTAGGTGCATAGAGAAGGATTCGAGCCAGCTGAACGACGGCTAGCGTGTCTCCCCGGCATCTTTGAGCTTGTGTCCAAGCAAATGAAATTGTTTCAAAGAAGAAATAGTGCGTTATGTTCAACTTCTATGGAATATTCTGTGATAACTATTTCTTCATTTGAGCTCGAACAACATTTCTGCGTGCCATTTAATTGGCCTCCATAATTTTGTCCCACCTTCTACAGTTGATCTCATCAGGAATCAATCCGGTGGTTGTCCTATAGAGCACACATGGTGATCGCAACACCATTTCTTGCCGTCTTTCCTTCCCTGCTTATATCTTTGAATTTCCAAGCGATTACGGCTGGTGCTATTCAGTCCTGACGTCTTTTCATATTGGTGAAGCGGAATTAGGCACGTTTCAACCGGCGAGCACCAAAGAACAGTGGATGCGTTCTCCTGCACAGGTCAGTTGAATCATTTCCTCGATGAACAAGAACAAAAAAATGGAAACCTTGACCGCTCAGGTAGTTTAAGGGGCATATCTGAGCCACTGAACCAATAACCATTACATATAAACGCTCTGAAGTAGTAATACACACCTAGCGAGCAAATGAACGGGGGACCTGGGAGAGAAGGAACTGCTGGAGTTGGTTGTTTGAAGCTCTCATTCCTGGATTGCAATCGCTTTTTTCGCACTGGAAACTAAAACCCGAAAAATTGCAAAAATTGAAAAATCGAGGTGATGACGTCATTCCTTGCCTGCTGATTTGCGCATTGATGCAGCTCTTATCATTGTTCCCTCTTCAATACTAGGCTCTCTCTGCCATGTGATCATCGCTGCGTACAGACCTGCGGCGAGCGATATACAGGGGGGGGGGGGCAAAAAAAAAGACATTTTGCCTATGTCGGACTTCGGCTCCTTTTTTTCGCAGAGATTGCTGCGTTGACGGGAGTTCCTCAGCAGAGTATTCCCTAAGTGTCCCTCTATAAGTGACGCAGGCCCTCTTCACTGCCCTCACCGTCTTCAGAATATGACGTCATCTGTCACCGTCGTCAGGCTCAAGGAGGTCTACCGTAAGTGCTTCAGCCTGAAGCTCTTACGCAATTTCGTGAATCGATTTAATGTTGGATAGTTTTCTAGAGGCATTAGCTCCCACTATACAATCCCCTCGGAACTAGTAAAGGTCGTTATGGTACACGATCCTTCGAAGACCCCATTGAGCTCGACCAGTGCACCATGTTTCCAGGGCAAATTCTTCTGATGCCGTCCACGTAGGTGGCCACATGAAGATTTTCTTATAGAATGGAATGCGCTCTTCAATAATAAGTTGGAACCATTCGGTCTGAATTGAGCAAAGTGTGCTTAAATCCATCTGAAAGTGGAGACAAAATGTCTTTTTTTATTGCCCCCCCTGTATATAGCTTTGAAGGGCCAGTGTCATCAGTTCATCCTTCCACACTACCCTGGTACCAACTAAGCGACCCCGCAGGGATGGAAGGCTTGGTTGGCCCGGGCGACTCACGATTTAGCCCCGGACCGCTCGCGTGATAAGCTGCCACTTGCTACTACACCACTCCCGTCCTGAGAAGAGACATGACCTGGAGAATTGGAGTTTCTGATTTTGGAGGTATCTCGTACCATTACCCATTACCCAATACCGTCGTTCGTCAGCTATTCTATGGTGAGTTTTCAGACAGTCAAACTCGGTAGAGTTAGACATGCTTTGCGACCGATCTTTTTTTTTTGATAAAAAATGAAACTCTCTAAAAATCTCTTAATCAGTTAACTGATTTAAGAAATTATGCAGCAGCTTTGGGCTGGAACACTTACGGTGGGCCAAGTTGAGAGCGAAGGTGACGATAGATGACATCATATTCTGAAGGCGATGAGGGTAGATAAGGGCATTCTGCCACGGCCATGATGAAAGGGAATTTCGGGGTGAATCATCCTGCAAAACATCCATGAACGGGGCACAACGTTGCGTGCAGTTTGGTGATCGTGATGCCCTATCAAAAACGATGGCTTTGTTATCCCTTGCCCATTGTATAATTGGAGCCCGTGCTTCGGATTTTTGTAGAAAGTTTTCAGATCAACGTTAGGAAAGTAGAGATCACCTCAACTCGGCAGAACTGAGCGCGCGACGATTGATACGAAAGATATATATATATATATATATATATATATAATATATATATATATTAATTTGGCTCTGAAGGAAGGGATGAGCGCCACACGAAGCTGTAACTGGGTTGCCAAGGAAGCGAGATGTAGCGCTTCAGGACGGAAAGTGCGCTGCTTGCTGAGCAGCACTCAAAATGCGCACCACCCCGCGCCCAACTCTCGCCCATAATTGGGCAAAATTGTCCTTTAAAGCAATTTTTCTGTAGAATTTCCAACTCTAACAGTATACCAGTTATAACTGCAGTTCTAGGCTTTCATACTGTAATTTTTCAAGAGAATTCCAAATTTGGACGGGGAACTCGCGTTTCAAAGGGAAGGAGGGCAACCTCCAAAAGTTTAAGTGTCCAAGAGAATTTCCGGTACACTTCAAACCCCTTCCTGTATCTGAGGCTATGAGAAGACGAAGAAGTCCTGATTAGTAATTAATCTTCGGCCTAATAATTTAAAACCCCAATTAATATGGTGGCGAGCTAAATGGCACATTCTAAAATTCTATATAGCTCTTAGTAAACATTTCTGTAAGTCGTGCTAGCCATAGATATTATGGAACTTGCTTATAATTATTGGGGTGTTACAAATGTTTTAAATGCACAAAGAAGGAAATTTTAAGGTGGCACCCACCATTGGGTGCCATTGTCGTCAAAGGGTTAATAAGTTTGGAGGAGCTGCGTTGCCAGCGGCGGCATGTAGCAGTAGGGCATATAGTATTGGCCTAAGGCCACCGAACGCGCTGTGGTAAACTCGTCCATACGCCCATCGTCTTAGCCGCTGCTCGTCCATGAGCGAAGATCGGGGGCCAAACTAGGGGGAAGGGTCCCGTTTTGGGTTTTCGTGACCGATTTCTCTGTTCTTTTTTCGCCACTGGCTCACTGGGCAGCCTCACATCCCCTGTAAACACCTCCTAAGCTCGTGTTTGGTTTTTTCGATTTATCTCTCTGTTATATTAACACATGACATTGGAACGCACCTGTGCGTGAGGATAAGTGAGCAAATGAATTGCTCATAATATGACTTGATATTTGGCAGTACGTGCGTTTTCTAAATTTTCCCCAAATCGAGTCATAGATAAAGCTAGGGCGATAAGAGGGAGCGCCCGCCCAATTCCTACATCAGTACCTGGCGGCCAGTGTCGCTCAACGCAACTCATAAACATTCAAGTGGTTCTTCTATTTTTAGAGTCACTTAGCTTTAGTCTTGCAAATAAACTGATGTATTTAGTGTACAAGAAAAGCCTTAAGGTTCTGAATCACAATTGAATTTCTCCTCATCCTGTCAATACTTATTATCGAGAACGTGGAATTTTTGTAGGTATGCGGCCTGTGTTATTCGTCGCCTGCCTCGCATGTGTTGTGGCAAATCCACCGGCTGGTGGACAAGACGCCGTAAGAGAAGGTCATTAGTTTGAACTTTCTTATTTGAACGCTGAGTTCTAAAATTGTATACTTCAACCTGTGTGGAACCGGAAGGCTGAAGAGAGTTCGAGTGAAAGGTGATTAGGAAATATCATGTACAGCAGGAGGGTTCAGTCAGAATCAGTCAGCTCGCTGGGTGAAATTTTCAAAATACACCCTCCCCCTTCTCGTCGTAGGACCGAAAACAGCATGACGGAGGAGGGGTGGAAGAGGTGGAAATAGTGCTTGGTCTTAGAACCTAGTGGGCCAAGGTTAAGGGTGCCATAGAAACCGCAAAGAGAGGGGTTGTTTGACCGACTGGAAGGAGCTAATTCAGAGGGAAAGCTCTGAATTAGCTCCTTCCAAAGCAGTGGCGGTAGCCAGGGAAAGAGCTTTTTGAAAGCGGCGCTTTCGGGATTTCTCCTCGCCCGCGACTCAGAATGAAAAACAAGTGCATGGCGTACCCGGTCGGTTTTACCGAGTGCATCAGGTCCTGTCCATTACGCGAAACATGACTGTAAGAGGCTGTAAGGATAAACTCAAGTTGAACTCAATGGGTATCTTTAGCTGAAATTTCAAGAGCAATATTTTTCGGATATTGCATTTTAAAACAAGTATTCGGCTCGATGGTTTGGTTCCACCGCTGCGTACTAGTCAACTGAATTGTACTTTTCATCCCACCCTCCATTCGGACGATCTAGACGGCGGGATACTATATCTGACTTTTGGTGGGTCAAAAGTGTGGTTGATGAGGTGAAAGGTGAACAGGGAGGGTTGTATTTTTCTTGAAGGAGCCATTGTTGTATAGAAGTTGATCGCTTCCGACGTTTTCTCGGTAAACTCCAAGAACAACACAAAAAACATTTAATACACCAACATTATGTAGTCTCTGGCCGTTTCTTGAACGCCGTAGGGATAACAGTGCAGGCGAGCTGGAGGTGTTGTGTCGATTAGTCTCAAATCAAATAATATAGAAAGCCATGGTGATGAGGGTGGTGGTCAATAGTCGTAAATGAGTCCCTTCGCATGTGGTGGTGGTGGGGGGGGGGTCGTATCGACACTTTTCAAAAGGTAGAGGGTCATGAAATTTTTTGAAATCGGTCGTGTGCGACGCTCGGCCCTCTTCATGACCTTTCAAACACAGACAACTGAGTTAAAGTTAGTCACCTAATATGGTAGATGCCCCAAACTCTCACGAGTCACGCCATTCCGACGGGTGCTGCAAACAAAAACAACATTTCGATAAGGCTCTATAAGGAATGCCATAAAACCCGTCCTCACAAAATGCATATCATCCTTTTT